AACAACAACAACAACAAACAAAAAACAACAAACGAAAACAAACGAGCAAAAACAAAAACAAACAAAACAAAACAAACAAACAAACAAAAAAAAGAAATCAGAAACATTTTTCGTTTAATGACATTAACATGCCAATGATCATGATGACGTGTTGACATTAATAGAAGATGGTGTTGGTCAAGGTAATTTCAAGGAACGCTTTTTTTGGTGGGAGACGGTCTTCTCACCGAAACAAATTTTTGATTTCAAGACATGTACAACTTGGCTGACGTTTCGCGAGCATGCGTAGCCGTTCACAAACACAGATTTCTCACAGGAAATTACCCAATCTATGATCTATACTTGCAAAAGATATAAAGATAGATATATCTGATGTAACCCAATTTCCGCCTCTTATCAACTTATCGTGGCCTCTTTAAACTAAGAAGTTTATGATTAGGAGGATCGATTTTGATTCAAGAAAAATTATTTCAGTAAAACTATATTAAGTTCCGCCTTTCAAAGTGCGTATATAATGTTTTATGTCTAAATGTGTATAAAATTAACGTAAAACACGAAAAAAAAAAAATCACGAAAAAAAAAAAACCATACAACTTAATATTTGTTTTATATTTTGAAAACGTAAATAGCCGTAATGTTAAATAATGTTAAAAGTAAAGGTTTATATAGATAGAACGAAATGTTGCCACAACAATAGAGACGCCCTCACACTCCTGATGGAAGCAGAATGAATTTGGCATAATGTTTGGTAGAGCCTAATAAAGTATGTCAATCCAGTGTGAATGGGTCACTTGATCGAGTAAATTCGGTGTTGATCTGTATAGATTGTACCAGTAAGCTTAGCTTACTCAAGAATACTTCATATCTACTTAGTAATGTTATTGCAAAGAGATTATACTAATATCCCATGGTCTTATCGTATTGATGTACTGATTACGAGTAAGTGCACTCAAGTACCTTAATCTGGAATAACGACTCGATAAATGCGTCATACTTGATATGAACACACTTTTGGAAATCATTATTGATAGCAATATGTAGCTTTAATTCATCTGATGAATAAGCATTTGAAAGAAAAGAAATGTGATAAAGACAATGTCAGTTCACTAGCCGCCTTCAAAATTGCAAAAATATTTTACGCTAAATCGATGCAGGTTAGGGTATGTTTTCTCATTTCAAGTTCGATGATAAACTGTCAGTCAAAAAACTGGCTCTTTCTGGCTGTGTTTTCTTGACTCAAGCATGGCTGATAAACGAAGAAATAATTCCGAAGTAGACTTGGCTCGTGTTCTGAGATGAGAAGACATCACGCTAAAATGACTGAAGAAATGTTTATCTATAGCCGTTTGCAAGATGGCGCCATTTTGACTCAGTATAATCAAGAATGTCGCTCTAGACTGCAACTTTTCTTTCTGCCCCTGAAAATACTATAAATAGTAGGGAAATTAGTGCATATTATTAAACTAAAAAAAAAGTGTGCATAGGATTCTGGTCGTGGTAGTATGTGAATAATTAACGCAAACAACGTATCTGTTTTGACTAGAACAGGAAAACAGTTTACTATTACGTTAAACTGGTTAAAGTCATTCGGTCAGTTTGCACGTAGCTTTGTTTTTGCTGCAAGACTAAGTTTTACTACTGTTATGCTTGCAAAGCGAAATAATCCGTTCAAGATAAAGTTCAACCTCTGATACGGGTTGTTGCAAAGAAAGAAGATTTCTTGTCCAATTTGTTATTTTGGGAAAGAGATCTTTTTTTACAACAACTCGTATTAGAAGTGTTCAACTGACTTTATCCTGAAGATTCATTCGCTTTACAAGCAAACCAAGGCTTTAAAGTTTGCTTTCGAATCATTACTTAAGAAGGATGCGATGCTGAGTTTTTTAAATACCGCGTGACGTGTTGGATTAAATTGTCCGGCCTTGCAGTGATACTAAGTTGGTTTAAAGGTGTATTTTCCCTACTTGTCACGGGATTTTCTGTGACTAAAAATAGTCTGCAGGACTCACAAATGATGTCAAATGTCAAACTGCACAAATAGCCTATTTTTTTTCGGTTTTCTTGATGCATCTAAGCTATCTAAGTATTAGGGACTACAAGCTTGCATCATCAACCAATATTTTCTCTCCCACTTCTGGACTAGTTAAGACAATTTATTGTGGGCTCACAAAAAAATCTTTTTGTTTATGATAGGATGAAAAAATATATTCAATAAAGGTTGCACTAAAAAATATAGTATTAAGTAAATAAAGAAGCTGCTAATGCATCGAGGAAGTTTGTGCTTCGACGCCAAATCGACTGGGATTTTGTTCTCATTTAAAAAAAAAAAAAAGATTTAAAAACCGCTGATTGAGATATAACATATAGTATACGGCTTTTTGCTATTGCTGAGGTACTGTCGTAAGACATTCTGGGCCTTGAAACTTAGTATTTGGCAATTTTTTGTGGTTTTTATCAGAAGATAAATTCTTAATTGATTTGGTCTGCAGACATGCGCAGTAACGGATTTGTAACCGATAACTTTGCTTTAGTCATTTATATCTTTCCTTCTTCCCCTTTTTTCCTCTCTTTCTTTCGTTCATTTTAGATCTTAATATTTCTTTTTCGTTTATTTGTCCGTTCTTTAATTTTTGGAGATAATTTGCGTTCTTTTCTAATAATTCTTGGCCATAATCCTTGTCACAAAATAAAGTTGTAATCGTAGTTTCCTATTTACCAAAGCCTCTTTTCTAGTCTGTATTCTATCCTCTTCAGTTATCAGACACAGTTCTCCATATCTATCTCAGAAACACTTTAAGGGGGCCTTTTTATCAGTTAAAAATTGTTTTTGAATGGAGTATAAATTTCCAAGTGCCCGTCATTTCAATTGAAATGCGATATCATTGAGTTTATTCCAGGTTACTAGGTAATATATAGCCCAGGTTACAGAAGTAATGTCTACCAATTTCAACAAAGGTTGTTGGAGCCAAAGGAGATAGGCAACACTGAGGCGTTAGGCAATGAGGAGAACCAATAAATTATGTTTCTTAATATTATTTTATTCTTTGTCAAATATCTCGAACATCAGTCGTACCAGACCGGGCGTTTAATAATAAAAATGCCGCTCTCCCCAAAATGAACCCCAATGACGCCAGTGGATTAACGGTCTCAGCTAAGAACGGCTCTCGATTACAGAGACAATGCTCCGACTTGTTACGACCTCACTTTTCCCATTAAAAAAAAGAGACCTTTTTGCGAATTCGCTTGAAAGACCACAAAACAATAGCTCTAAGCAAGGTTGCACTTGATACGGTTCATACATTTACTGATTTTATCAAGCTAACCTCGACTTGGATCAATGGCTTTGTCGTCGCTCATTTTCCGTTAAAAATATTCTTGATCGTGTTTTCTTGTTATTGATGGTTTCGTCGACGTTTAATTTTTAATCAGTATAATGGGTAGGTGTAACTGCTCAACCAAATGTCAATTTCAAAAGCCTTTTTACAAAGGTGTTTTGCCAACTTGATAGTATCAAATGATATGACTAGAGTCTTCTTTGAGGTAATCTGACATGGCGTATGTCATTGGATTGGAACCTAAAAATGACATGCATGCAAGTGGCAGCAGATGGTAGGCAGGAGATTTTTTTATCATGTAATTACGGCACCATCAGTGTAGTTACATAAGAGCTACACATGTGATACACAGGAGATTAAAGCCATCATCGGTGGTGTGGATATACTGAACCGGTGTGATTGGATGGCGCTCGGTCATCTTGATTCTTGATTCATCCAGACAAGCCATTCAAGTGACAGTCAGAGAGTATATATAATTATTCTCATATGAGAAATTCTGCATCTTAATCATTTATGTACTCGTATTTCATCTAGTTTTTCTTTTCTTTTTTCTTTCGTTCTTCGTTTTCGTTCTTTCGTTTCTTTGTTTTCGTGGTTTCTTTAGTCGTCGTCGTCGTCGTTGTTGTTGTTGTTTTTTTGCTCTTGTTCTTGTTCTTTCTTTTTTTGTCACTGTTGCTGATCCTTTTTGAACTATTCGGCTGATATTGTTGAATGATGCTATAGTCAAATGCGACCGGTTATATTCTACGTATCCATACTTTTAACTGTGTGGACTGCGTTAAGTCGATTCCAGCTGTATTAGTCATTAAAACGTTTTCCATTTTCCAAATTAGAATGATATGAAATTTTAAAATGAAGTTATGTTTTCCATCCCTCCCTCCCCNCCCCCAGCGATTTTGAGATATCACGTAATATGCAAATTTCATTGCCATTTTTTTCAACCATGTGGTAATTGAAGGCCAATTTATGTCATTTATCATTCGTCGATATTTTTTATTACTTCTTTTTTTAACCCTGTGGTAATCGAAGGCCCATTTATGTCAAGTATCATTCATCGATATTTTTAATTACTTCCCTTTTAACGATTTCCCTTCAGCACGTCTAATAATGCACTTTTCTAAATCGTGGATCATAGCCGAATTCCTTTCTAATCACTGAGCGAAGCAGTGCACAAGGAATTAATCACCCCTTCGCAAAGCATGATGGGAAACTGAGCGCTAACGCTTACTTGGACCCTCTAAGAATTAATCTGATAATTTTTCCTTCTACAACCATTTTCTATTTTCTAAATAACAGAGTATTTTTTCCTGATAGTATCCATGTTGTACTCGGTTTCCCAGAGTGCTTTGTGAGATTTGATGCTCGTCAGTAAACTGAGTCCAGAACTCTCTTTTTATTCCTTGACCGCTTGCATTTTTTTATTTTTTTAGCCTCTCCTTGCTTAAAATCCTTTCTCATTCTCAGTTTATTATGGCTCTCTTTGAATCGTCATTAACTATAGCTAATAATTTTTTTTTAGTCAAAAATAGCTCCAAATTGTTTTACTCAATTAACAAACTACTCTTTTTACACCGTCTCAACTTATTATGTTTTTATACGAAGCCGTCTGAGATTGCCTCAGGGTACCATTTATGTACCGTGAAGCCGACCAACCAAAGACACTGCTTTTGAACTTGAAGAAAGACATCTCAATTATATATTAGAACTCAAGGACGTACGTTAAATACATCAATGTTTCAGAGTTTATAAGCTGATTAACAGTAAGGAAATGAGCGTTCGGCATCAGAGCTAGGAAGTTAAAGTATAACATTGAATTGGTAATTATTCAAATGTGCAGTCAAATCTAATAGAATTTACAAACTGGCACAAATGGTAATCTCTCTGCTGATGACTAACTCTACAGCCAAGTGGTTGTGTCTTTTTTACATCCTTTCTCTGGCAGGTCAGCAGGTGGTTCACACCTTAGCAGACCCGGTATTTTTCAAGTTCTYGTAAGAAGGACAACACTCAAGATAACTTTGGCCGTCAGATCAAACGTACTCCTTCCTCCCTGTGTAGGAGTACCGGTATTTTCAATTCAGTGCCTTTGGAACATGAACACGTGGGCCGGGATGTTGCTGGTTCATGTCGGCAGCTCGCTGCAATTAACGGTGCAAATTTTAGTGTAAATTGTTTCGGCGTTCAGTAGGATGTAATGGTATATATTTAGTTAGTTGCTCAGTTATACTCGAACTAAGTACTCGCTGCAAGTATCATGTATTTTAAAAAAATATCTTGGTCAAATACAAATACATCCAATACTCCAGTTTCGAGTGCTCAATGTTAGCCTCGATTTTGTGCAGAATATTGATGTGCACAATGAGGGTCCGTGAATTTTCAAATTGTTTATATTGTTGAAGTTGTGCATTCTTTACTTTACCGTTGGTATTTGTGAATATTTAGACGCTGATTCAAGGCTACTACCCTTTGTGAATGAGTCTGTAATCAAGGAACACTGCGGTAATTTGGAACTCGAAAATGGTGTATTCACAGTTCAACTTTTCATGGAATCATTTCATGCTCATTTTTTTAGCGTGAAGCTTTCAAGTATCAAGAATAAAATATTCAAATTTATGACTTCTTACAGTTTAGAAAGTTTGGATATCGAAAATGTTTACGATTTGAAAAATCTTAATGTTTGAAAACTGATCAATAGTTTTATTTTCTTGTCCAATTATCTACGTTGATTATCGAATGCTAACGATAAATCAATATTTGCTTAAAGATAACGTGACATCTGAATGGTAAATTAACTTTCGATAGGACAGTTTGACATTTCAACTTAAACAGCAACTTCAAAACTAATAAAAATCTAAACCTTTTGACACTTACACACAGAACTATGCCAAACACAGAGGCAATGCTCTTCATTTTTCATTCACACAGAAGGCTATCGGAGCTCTTTCCGTTAATACTAGAAAATTTAGCTGGTCATTTGTCCAAGATGACAGTACGTAGAACGTGTGCATCGTAATTTATTCACCATCATCTTTTTCATCATGTATACGTCTTAATAAAGATTATCGAAAAGATGTTTTAATATTGCTTACTAATGTCAAATGTATGAGGGTGTGTCTTGGTTGGCTTGGGGGGGCTGGACCTATAGACAAGTCATGGGAGCCCCACGAGGGCTTGTAACTGTAAACGATCCAGACTGACGGGAGAATAATGATCGTGCTTTTATAAGGCGAGCAAAGTCTTCGGAATTATCTACAGAATCGATAATTATATGTAGATAGGTCGACTCTGTTCATTGGGCTGTAAAGGGGTGGAATATCTAGCCTATAAATCGTGGGCTAACCCTGGTTAGTACATACGAGTTTTTAGATCTAACTTGTACTACAACAACTCGAGCTCTATCATCTTTGCACCCAAGCGTAAATAGCGGTATAAAGGTAAAGAAAAAAGAGTAGGCAGGTGAAGATAACTTATTATTAAAAAACAAAAACCAAAGTCATCCCACGAAGCATCTGGCAGACGTAAACAGACTCGACCAATGTTTGAATAAATTAACACTGAATTAGTATGTAAATCAGCTGGGAATAGCTTGCGTGATCTATGTTTTCAAGAGACCAAAGCGACTGGAACGGTGCGGCGATGGACGACTTATTACATAGGGTTGAGAGTGTAAAATGTTGAATAAGAGTTTCAAGAAAGAGTTAGCATTAATTCTACCTGTTTAGCCTGCTTTTGAAAGGATTTTCCACGGCATTTTTGCGGTGGTTCGTCTTGTATGAACGATGACCGTTGTTGCCGTCGCTTTTGTGTTGGTGGTTGTTTTACCTTTAAGTCAATCTTCAAGTCAACAAGAATGTCCTGGAGGCTGTAGTCAGTGTACAAAAACAAAAAACGACGACATATCAGCAATAAACTGTAGTTCTTACCAAGGGAATTTACCGGAATCATGGCCTATTTCTACGACGAAATTGTAAGTAAACCTCTTAAGTGAAATTCACTTTAGAACGTGTTCTGAATCAAACAAAGGCTAATAGTTCCACGTGAGAGAGATACCAAAACCTATGAATCTGCTTATTATTATTAGAAGATTGTTCGCAGTTAAAATTAAAAGACCATGTGTAAAATATTCAGGATGTATTTAGATTCGTGGTTGCCTCCTATGACATGACCTCCCAGTCTTGAGTTTCCACATATTTACTGTTTACAGTATTTCAAGAAGAGTAGTTCAGTGCATATTGTAGGCTTATACAATCGCAAAGAGAATTCCCCAAGTGTTTATAGCTTTCCAGTTTATTGTAGCCGTGTTATTAGAGAAAAACATGGCATTTCAAGGACGGTATTTTGCTAAACATATCTATAGAAGCGCACTGTTTGACCCCTAGTGCGGAATATCCATGGGTTCGATGGAGTATATTTCGCGTCTATTTAGAGTCACTTTGAAAATATGTCACATATATAGAGGCGCTGTGTAAAGAGCCTCATATTATATTGTAATCGAAACTCTCAGGTATAATATATCGCGGAGTATCCAGTTCTAGGTTTGATTTGGGAGTCCTGAAATCGTTCAATTTTAACTTTAGACATTGATGTTCTAGACTCATAAGTCATGGTTTTGATGTCTAAACAATAAATGTCCTTGGGAGATAACATCTGCTAAGCGGAAACCAATTCAACGTTTGCAAATAGTCAAATGTTATGAACTATAGCTGTACTTTGCCCATTACCTTCAAACACTTATTAATTTTTTCCAGATCATAGAACTGTAGGCTCAAATATTTGATTTGAATACCGGTAATCACTAAATACGTGCTTCGTATCTTTATAAGAATCTAAGTGGATACGAGAGAGTGACAGATATTTTAATTTTAAATAATGATTTTTTGTGTTACTTTCTTTGCAAAAAGAAGCTGTCAATTTTTCCTATAGCTCTATCATTAAGCCTTCGACTTTTTATTTTGCCATGCAATATAATTTAAATATAAGTAAAAATAATAATAACTGCTGGGTGATCAGGGTTGTTTAAAGTCGAAAAATACTGAATTTAAAACCTTAAACCCCCAGACCGAAATCTCCGGAAACCCTAAAGAACGTGTGTTTGTTTTTGAATAGCATTCCGGCCAAGTTCAATCTTGAAATTTTGTTTATATTCTCTTTTAGTTCGTATATGTTAAATTATTATGCAGTATTATGACTGCGTAAAGGAGTAAGAACCCGCGTTCAAGAGGTAGACCTTACCCACAATCATAGTCAGTGGAGCGAGATTTGTGTAACATGTCGCATCATTTAGTCATGTCCATCACCTACTTCTTTTATTCTACGATTTGTTTGCTATTTGGCAGAATAAATAGAGCTATTTTAATGAAGTGATTTTTCTTTGCCCGTGAAAGAATAGTCATCGTAATACATAATAAGTAGAGGAAAATATTCCATTGTTATCTTTTTTTTTACTTGGACTGTCATTCACTATAATTATAAAACTGTTTTGCAGGCCAAATGAATGCACTCTTTTATCCTATTTTTTTGGAACATAGTTTTTTTCCAGCAGTGTTGCAGCTCTAACTTTAAGCCTAGTGCGATATAGTCATTCAAGGATGACATCTTATATTTGTACGTTGAACATAAGTAGATTTAGGCAAATAGTTCTTTTGTTTTAGTGTGAGATCGGTGTACAAAAGACTAAAGGCATTACCACTGATCCATTTTAATAGATTAAGCATTATATAGCTAGAATATTCTGGGCATAACAGTGATAAAGAAGAAAGCCGCAAAAGGCCTTTCTCGGCGATTCTTGACAACATACAAGAAAAAACCCTAATTTCTTCAGTTCTCGTTTCAGAAGATTATCAATCACTTCAAACGACAAATTATTGATGTTATGCTTAGTAAGATTCCTTAAACCTTAGTGTCAAGACTGAATTGAAGCCCCTACTATATTTATCCCATGCTCTTTCCGTTCAAAAACAAAGCAGATTTTCTTACATAATGACTTTTAATAGTACTTAAACCGAGTGCTAATTTGTGTTTCTCTAATGGTTTGCGGTTTCTTTAGGAAATTAGAAAATCGTTTAGATAAATTGAATAATTTGCAGTACATACATGTATATTTAACGAGCACATAGGGGGCTAGGAAAAACAAGGTGAATGGCAAATAAGCTCCAAGTGACTTTCAATTTTACCGTTCCAAATTTTAGTGCTTTGTTCCTGTAACGTTATGAAAAATATAGTTCATCTTGGTCATTAATCATGTATCCAAAGAAAAAAAAGAAAAAAAAGAAAGAAAGATAGAAAGAAATATAGTGTGACTCATGCACCCGCGTTTGTCAATAGGTGACGTAGTTTGATTAACCGCGAACTAGCGAGTGGAGTAGAATGTTCATTCTTTTATGTGATTTCAGGAGCTTTGCAAAAAAATAAATAAATAAATAAATAAATAAATAAAATAAAAATAAAATAAAAAAATAAAATCTTTTAGCGTCATCTCTTTTCTTATATTCTTCAAGAGATTTAAAGACACTTGTCAAAACACTGGACCATTTTGGAGTACTTTCAGGTTCAGTACAGATCCTACAACTGACTACTTTTGTTTGCCAAATTCAGTCAAAAATGTCTTCATCAAATRCTAAGGTAAAACCTTATTAGTTTGTGATTCGACTGACGGTCTGAATTTTCTGGGAATTTTGCTACTTCCAATGTTTTTAAGTCAGCCTAAAGTTGACAGTTTAGAGTTTACAAATCGTAGTCTCCAGTATTTCCAAATATATTGGACCGAGTTTTGCATACTTGAACCTGAGCCAGACAGTGAATTACCACTCATGCAAGACTATTCATTTAGGAAAGACATAATTATGATAGATAGTGCATTTGTATAATATATTTGAGCAAGTGTGTTCTGCCAAAGTAGACACTTCAGGCTGTTATTTATTTTACTTATTGCGGCTCAAGAAAAAACCTGTTTCTAATTCCCGCAGGAACTATCCCCTTAACAGTGTCATTTCGAACCGGTTGTCTCGACAAATTGGATGTAGTGTTAATGGAGTTTCGAATTCAAGTCTTGTGATGACTAATTAAACTTAGCCGTGCATTACGAGAAATACGCTGGCTGATTTTATTCGGGGATAATAAGTAAAATAAAAAGATAGATTATTGAAACTAATTGAGAATAACCTATTTTTAAGATATGCTGTCAAGGTTGGCATTTCTAGAACGCGCCAAATGAACGAATATTTCATGGCCCATAGTGCAGATTATTTGTGTAACTCTTGTTAATAATCTTCAAGATTACTAATGAAGCGGCTTCCTACAGTAACTTATATATTCAACTTATTTACAGTGATTAAGTCAAAGTAGTCCTGTACGAAACACTGCGAGAAATATTATCATGCTAAAGTATATTAATAGTTGGAATATTCTAGATGTAAGTCATGGCTTCAGTTAAGCGTCCGTTTAAGATTGTTAATCTTTATTTTTGGAATGAATAGCAAACCTCTTAAAGTGGGCGGAAGCTGAGCCCGCTGTTCGTAACGCCTATTGCAGAATGCGAGCTGCACGGGTCAGTGGTTCAATCTTTGTTCGTGTCATACGCTACTGTGGGAAAATAAAAGCTTTTGTAATACGTATTTCTTACTCTATTTTTCAGAGATTTATCCAAGTCTAACCTTACTGATATCAAGTGGCCTTCTCTAGCTAAACTTAACAAATTAACTGATCTGTAAGTACTGCTTTATGCGCATGCTCCGCGTGAATGCAAACTTTGACACTGCCTATCGCGGGCTCACATGCGTCCATTGTGTTCCAGATTGAGTAGAAATATCTCTTGGTGTTGATGTCGGATTCAAGCGAACAGACCCCTTTAAATTACCTTGAATGCGAGGCTAACAGGAAAATAAAGAGCACAATTCCGGCCATGGAAAAATCTGTGATTTTTTTTTTCTGTTAGACTCAATTTCAAAACACTTTACAAAAGGGTATATATGCGATGTGCTGTTTTTGATACTTGTGGGCTCATGCGGCACGCAAACAGAAGAAGAGTCAAACTTCATTTTTTGCCAGTTTCAGCATCAATTATATTTTGATGTAAATTAAAAACTCATTATTGAAGAGTTATTTTTATCTCAGTTGGTTTATCTCGCGCGCTGATTGGTCGAAAAATGTTCTTTATTAATAGTGAACGGAGCACAGTGCTGACGCCATYCGCGCGCGCGAAGTGCTGCCAGATCCTGCGACCGTCTTTCTTTTTGCSTAAATAAATTCAATACCAAAATAAAATAGTGACTATATGATAAAACGAATAAAACAGCTTTTTCCGTGGTCCATTCAGTAATAAAGCACTTAAGAAGTGTGAGGAAGACTCATCTACGGCTCGTGCTTCTCCTTACGTTACACTTCTTTCGTTCTTGCGCCACTTCCTGCGTGCTTTATTACTGAACGGAGCACGGAAAAAGCTGTGTTATTTGTTAAATATAAAGTCTACCACGGACTTCCACTGGAACAAATGTATATTATAATAATTCGATGACTGAGTGTGTGACTGTGAAAAAGGGGTTTATTATTTGATTACTTTGGGATATTATAAATCATAATTATTATAGGTAATAGAGGAGTCTAATATTGATTTTGTTAGCACAACAAAACATATATCATCACTTTAAAAACGTGTTCATTTTGAAATTTTGCGAACCTTTTTTTTTCTTTGCATTATCGAATTTATAGCAATTTTTTAGGAACATTTGTATTCTTCCAGACGAATTGAGAAATCAAGGAAAACTCGAAGATTAAAACACATGAATTATTTACTCGCCTTAATTAAAATCAATTTCTGCTAGACAGAATGTCTGCACCTACGAATAGTGAATAACAACTAAACAATTGTTTTGCCCTCTGAAACCATATTCGCGACGCTGAAGTATTCATTGTACTCCAGCTGGGATTAATCGAATTTGTTTCTCTTTGAGCTGAAAARACACTTTATTTAATTGCACTTTCTTGAATCCCCACCCCAAACTGACTGTTGATAGTGTACGTTTATAGTTAGAAGCGAGGAGACGCGCGTCCTGTTCATTATTGTAAGCGTAGCACTCATGTCTTTCTGTTATAGCCTGAATGTTATATTTTGAGTATATCGCAAAAATAATTTTGACTTTCGATTTTGCGCGTTGAAAGAAATCACACACTTTGACAGAGTGGCTAAATGAAACTTCTTTTAAAGAATGTCCAAACGTCTTCTTCGTACTAATATGTTTTTTTATCTTTTAAGCTTAGAGGAATAATTCTAAAAAACTATGACACATCCTAACGTTTCATTTTGATTTTTTTGATTTTTTTGATTTTTTTTTTTCTTTAACGCGTGTAAAATTTTTTAACTTCCATTATGACTTCATTGGATAAAACACAATTACGATAAATCAAAAAGAAGAAAAACATCATCAAATAAATGAATAAAACAATAAATTAATAATTATTCATGACCACTTGTCATTCTCTTGAAAATAAGATTATTTGTTTGAGTCGTATCCATAATCATTTGTCTTCTCATGCGCAACCGTTAAACGAAGAAATCATACTCTAGGGAATGAAACGCGGTCTGAAATGAGAGTTACATTGTATTGATGGTTTTCACCGCCGCCATGTTGGATGAATTTAACAAAAGATTCGTCATTAGTTTCTTTTGTTATATCATCCAATATGGCCACCGTGTCTTTTGTTATTTCATCCTCTTGGGAATGATTGAAAACCAGCTATTGTAGTACAAACACAACTAAAAAAGTGCAACAAGTCTTCTGCACAATGTCGTTTCATATATATATATAAGAAATCTGTGAATCAATTTTCCGTAAAATAGTGCTCAATACATCGATAGAAGTAGAGCAGAATATTTGTTTGAGAAGAAAAAGTCAAGACAACATTTTTCCCGACAAGCCTGTTTCGTGAATTGCTTCACTCTTCAGGGGATTTAATGATAAGAATATTCGTTACTATCATTTATATAGAAAAAGTATACATAATTAATTAGTGGATGTAGTTTAGCTGTTGCGTAATAATGCTTTGTTTCTGTGGCGGCATGAAGATACAAGTTATATATATATATAGCGTTCAAGCTCATAGACTTTCTTCACTGCTCTCGTCTGATCTGCTCTGTTTAACATGCTGTCTGACGGTTTTGCAAATGGCGGGAAACTGTATTTTCATAGTCAATGCAAAGATGTGCAATCTTTATAAGTGTACGGGTCAGTTTATACTAAACACCCATTAACCACATTAAGAGAGCAAGGTTCATCTTTGTATCTACGCGAGCATAACACATGTTGTTGATAAAAGGCTCATGATGTTTATACAGACTGCAATGTGTGCGGCGTGACCTAACAAATGTCCAGGGGACGATCGTTTTTATTGGTCTTGATATAGGAAGCACAAGTTCGTTTGTAAAATAAACAAAAAATAAACAGCCAAAAGACTATTTTAGCTTCCAAGCTTGTACGTTTCCCAATCTGTATCGCGTGACATTCATTTAGGAATAATATTCATATTATCTCAAGATATACGGGTAAATGAAGATGTCAAAGGAACTACATGTGGTATAAATTTGGAAAACATTACGACTAACATGGCTGAAGGCAATGACTTTGTGTGAAATAGAAGATTTTAAAAATTTATTTTATTTAGCTTTCCTTGTGAAAGTAGGGGCACCACCATGTAATATAGTTTCTCCACCTACTGAGGGCTCTATAGTGTAAGCACGCCGGGGCACTGAAGATAGTCGTCACGCGGAAAATGTTCAGAGGGCGCGTATTTCCTTTTAACTGTGTKCCTATAGTCTTCCCTGGGTAATACTGTATCTACCACAGATGCCTCAGGCACCTAAATTTCCCAGTTTACTCGAAAAAAAAAACGTCTTATATTTTATTGTTTTGTTTCTTACGGTATGGTGACGGCAAGTTTTCCTACATTAGCGTCCTACAGCAGCCCCTGGCTGAAGAGCGGTCCAGGATTTTCACTAGGGGGCTTCAAGGTGGAGACGCGATCCAAAAAAGGGAGATGGACTTTGGCAAACAAAACAACAACAGCAACAGCAAAAATAGCGTAACAACAGCCAAAAAATAAATAAATAAATAAATAAATAATAAAATAAAATGAAATAAAATGAAATAAAATACAGCACAACAACAGCAAAACCAGCATTTAGCTTCTAAATAGGGGAATATAATTGTCGTCCCTTGTGGGGTTCGATAAAATCAAGATGATCTAATTAGGGTGTCTGTAGTTGTTATTTAGGCTGTCCATGTATATGAGAATATATATAAATTATATACTTGTAAAGCGGTTATAATTAAGTTAATTAGGGTGTTCAATCGTAGATTAGGGGTTTCGGATGAACCCCTCGAACCTCCCCTAGATCTGCTCCTGACAATGCTTATAGTTTCTTTTCCTTTGACACAGGAATCTAGCTGGAAATCCAATCACATGTGATTGCAAATATTATAAATACTGGGAGCAACATCTCGCTTCGACGACTGCTAAAGTTAAGTTGACTGGACAATGTGGAAAGCCAAGCAAGAGACATGGACAGTCATTAACTTATGCTGGAAGCCAAATGACTGATGAATGTAGTAAGTACAAAATGATATTAGTATATTGAACGTCAGGATCTGAATTACAGCGTGTAACCTAAAGCGCAATTTGACAAAAAATGTTGCGAGACAAGCAATTGCAGCAATCTGTTGCAAAAAGTAGAATTCGTTTCTACTTTTGGCAATGATTGCGTCTCCTTTGCACCGTGTAAACACTCCGGAATCTTGTGTCGCAACCGGCTGTTGCGAGACAAGCTACAGATAAAATTGTTCCGTGTAATAGTGTTTTATATTGCTGCTGTGAAACTGATATACATATGCAAACATATGCTCAAGTTCATTTCCCGTTATTTAGCAAAGACACTCGGCAATATGGAAATATATCTAGACGACCGAGTCTCATCGTTATATCTTATTACGATTTTGAGTTACGAATACGGGTTTATATTTGCGGCTATTAGGGCAGAGAAAATATATTACGTATTGGCCATTATTGACTCAAAATTTCTGTATCGCGATTTTTCTATAGCGCGGTAATTCAGAGGCGACAATACGGGTTTATATTGACGGCTCACTCCCGATTTACGATCAAACTTATTAGAGAATCGCCATATTTTAAAATACCGTTGTTATCTTAAACGCAGGAGCAACACCCACTCCAACGCCACGACCAAGTACTGGCGCACCAGTAATACTAATGAGCGAGAGAATTTCTTCAATGCTTGAATCATCGCAGTTGGTTCAACCTTCTACTGTCATAACACCGGTAACATCCTCAGCTAAAGGTATGGCAGTCATGCCGCCACCACCACCACCACCTTCATCAACGGACCAATCAACCACGATATCAGCCACTGTTTCATCATCAGCAGTAATATCCACCATGTTATCCACTTCGATCTATGCATCGCTTCCATCATCTTCAGTGGCTAAAACCACAACTGAGGCACCCACAACTACTGATGTAACAAGTACAACAACTACAACAACTGAACTTATAACAACCACAGCAATTCCAATCCCCAGAAAACCAACTACGTCAGAACCACCGACAACTACTGAGAAACCAGCAACCACAGGTCAAACTGCGCCTCCACCAGCAACCACAGTTGCACAAACCACCACAGAATCACCGACGACTACTGAGAAACCAGTCACCACTACCTCACCAACACTTCCACCGACAACCATAGCCGCACAAACCACCACAGGCACCACCATCACCACCACCACCACCACCACTACTACCACCACCACCACGGAATCACCGACAACTACTGAAGAACCTACCACAGTTGAAATCACGACCCCGCCTGTTCCAGGTTAGCATATGTATGTTCTTACGTRACAATGTAAAAGTTACATTAAGTTGCTTCTACTGTTTTTTATTCATTATTGGTTTGTGCATTGTATTATTTTAAACGTTCATGATATATCATGCATACTCAACCAACACATGCATATACACAACCAAAATCACGATTATAAACAAGATTAGAAAGCCCGTAGCTTGCCACTACGTGGACTTTGGTGCGGCTTTGAAAATAGGTGGTCCTGTTTTTTCTTATTTACTTGTGTAATTAATATTTTTTACGAGTATGAAAAAAGGTTCTGAAGTGGTGCGGTTAAAAGTGGACGTACCGTACTGGTGGTCATGACCCTGATTAGTACTCTTAAAATTCCTTTGTACGTAGGCCTGTGTTAAATCATAGAATAAATTGCTTCAAAAGCGTGTAATTTTAGATATTATATTTGAAGAAAGCTTTTGGYCATTGTGGCCATCCTCAGAGTTAGAAGTGTACGTTACAATCCGTAACTAAAAAAAGTGTTGCTATGGTATTTGCAAAACAGCGCACGCAATACAAAGAATCGTAGGAATAGAAAATATACAAATTCGTGTTCGTGCTCTAGTCTTGTATTCAGCATTGGTTCAAAGGATTGCTCTTTCTTCCATTAAATACAATTGCGCATGCAATTGCACTTGGCTTTTTATCTGAGGGAGGAAAACCAGAGAACCCGGAAAGAAAACCTTGATTTACAGACAAAGGACCAGCAACCAGCTCTGCTCACATATGACACGACGGGTTTAAAACCGTATTGTAAACATAAATCAGTACAAACTACGTTTGAATAAAGTGCAACATGCATTCTAATTCAAATTATAATATCTTTCTAATTTCGAGCTGCATTACTGAGTTGACGTTTTGAGATTCAAGTAACAAATTCTTTGGTATCTTATTTTTTTCTTTATACACTATTGACTTTTCTAGGTCCACCAATAGTGTCTTTATACCAACTCAACCCGGAACTAAAAATCGGTTCTGTTGCCCAAGTTGTCTGTGAAGTCGATGGTTTGCCAAAACCCGACGTGACAATCATATTCAATGGAATGGACACGAAGAAATCCAAACAGTTCAGAGTCCTGAATAAAGGGGCCAAGATAAGCTTTGTGGTGAAACACGAGTCCGAAATAGTCTGTCATGCTAGTAATAAATTTGGTCGGAGAAAAGCTACTTTGAGGGTCACTGTAAAAGGTAAGTGCAGTCATCTAAACTCACTATGGGAAAAGTTTAGCCAGTTCGTCCCAGTATATCAGTGCACTAAAATGTCTTTCTCAGCCGGAATAAGATATTTCATACGTACTGGTTTTTATTCTCAAAAGGTCCAGTGTATCATTCTTTGTACTCTTACTTTTTTAACCTTGTCTTTTTCTCTTGAGCCTGCGATACTTGTAGTCTCCGTTACCGCAAAAACACTTGTATCGCGACCGACAACTTCCAACTTTCAGTCTTATTTTGGGTTTTTCTGATCTGTCAATCACGTGAAGGAGGTGGAGTTTATTTAAAAGTCCTCGATTGACCTCGATCCACGTTTGCCATCCGACATGTTTTCCTCAGTCCAAAATCGAAATAAAAGTAAAATGACTCGAGCACATCCAAAGGAATTGAGATGGAAGAGCGTTGTTTGGTTGTATCGTCGTGTACGGGAAATTTCTCGGGGAATTCCTTCGGCTACCCTACGATAGCATATATTGCACTAAACATAACATTGCTGGCTACCTTAGCCTTGAATCCACAAACAAACTTATCGTAGCGTCTTATTTTGATACAAGCGGTTAAATAAATATCATTTTTTGTCTTGAAATGTTTTGATTCGATATTCTGTTTATATTTCAACAGAAGGAAGTACAAGCTATATGACGTTGAAAATGAAGCTAATCAAGGAAGACTATGTTCAAGATTATGAAGACATAAGCTCCTCAGCGTTCCAGGACTTACAGCAAAGGATCAAAAAAGAGGTAAGCAGGAACAGTAGTTTGTGTATAACAAAACCCACGAATAAGGTCATATTACAAGGATGGGAAAGTGACATGACGCACGACAGCTGCATAGGCAACCAATGAGAAGGGTAGGAAACGATGACACTCACGGTTCAGAAGGGCACTTGGTACCTTAAGGGATTTCGACTTCCTTGAATGAAAATAATAGCATGTTTTTTTGTAAAGAATTAAGGTCTAGTGTTTCAGTGTTCTTCCTTTGTTTCAGTTTGATATCATCTTTAACGAGTTCTCTGGGTTTTACGGAGTGTCCTTGGTAAAAGTCAGGTACGTTTTATAAGATATGATAGTAGAGCACCGTGACCATGGTAACTGTCATTCAAAACTGCTGCAATGGGCTGTTATCCAGATACATATAAAAACTCAATCTGTTCACCACATTGATATATTAGCTACGCTCCTTCTAATTAATACCATTGTCATAGTAACAGCCAATGAAAGCCTTCGCGTAATAGGTAATTTGCATGGTGGCGTCATTTTACTACCACTACCAAATCGCTTCACGAATTTTCTTTTTATTCAAATTTGTATTTCTTCATGAGTATATTGAGACAATTGCTAATAATTAAATGAACAAAAGGATTAAAGTGTTCAAGGGATTCTAGTAGTGGTAGTAAATGACCATAATTCAAATGTCCTATTGTTTAGTACTCCGATTCAGTTTCAGGGTATTTGTTGTTTGGACTCGGCCTCGTCCTTGCGTAAAATGTACAAAGGTTTACAGTGAAGGTTCATGAAATATCAGAATTTGATGTTAGATTTCATTTTTGCTTTGGTATTTCGGAATATATGTTGATGCTAAAGTAAGGCTAACCCTGAGTAAATGAGTCTGTAATCAAGGAATACAGCGGTATATGACGGACTTATATGTTGATGCTAAAGTAAGGAAGGCTAACCCTGAGTAAATGAGTCTGTAATCAAGGAATACAGCGGTATATGACGGACTTATATGTTGATGCTAAAGTAAGGCTAACCCTGAGTAAATTAGTCTGTAATCAAGGAATACAGCGGTATATGACGGACTGAAAAAAGGTTTATTTCATTCAAAGTCCGTTGTATGCCAATCAACTCATTAACTAGGATGCACTATTATCTTACTAATGAAACGATACTCTTACTCTCTCTTACTGTTACTATTACCCAGATTGATTAGCTTTTTAGTTATTTTCTAGGTAACTTTTACCATATACACTGTAATTTTTTTCAATTTTTTAAAAATATATTTTTCATTCTATGGTAATGTTGTTGTTGTTGTTGTTGTTGTATGGTAATGTTGTTGTTGTTGTTGTTGTTGTCGTCGTCGTCGTCGTCGTCTTTGTCGTGGTTGTTGTTCGGTTGTTACCGTTACTATAGTATGATTTCCGTTCGTGTTTCAGTTCTGGATCTGTTATAGTTGATGTTCTAGTTAAAAGTACAAACTCAACGAAAGACAGAGTTATGAAAGTCATGGAACAAGAATTCGAAGATGCCAGCTTTGGTTCCATCCCGGTGGATCGGTATTTCTTTAGCATCAAACCTGCAAGAGGTGAGATATACTTTCTCACATGCAGCCGCTTGCACTGGTGGAGCCCGCCAGCTTTTTGTTTTTGATGGAACAAGAGCGCATTATTTTATTAAATTCAACAGTTAACCGTTTAGTCTATCATTGTTGAACACCAGTTATCACTGTTTACTATAATTTACCATTGCCCTATATTACTTGTTGAGTATCAGCTACCATTACTACCATTACTACCATCATCTGCCACCCTTTTACCATTTGGCGTTCATCTACCCTCGCTGACCATCAATGTTGTACTTTTCTGCTCGTTATTCGTTACAGCATGTTCTGGAACATATCTCAACACTACTTGGTCAGACATGGTCATTAATGGGACAGCCTTAGAGAAATGTCCTAGAGAAGCAAAAGGTAAGCATTCACTAAGCGATTTCATCAAAATGGCGCCCTTGTGCATTCGATGGAGAGATGTGTTTTAAGGGATTTGAGAACCGATGTCTAATTTCATTCATCAAAAGAGTAAAATAAAGGCGGAAAATGCCGTCCACTTTAATTCGACTCAGTATCTTTAGTACTACGAAAACACACTTGTAGCTTACTTATTCAACAAGATGGATTTATTCTAATTTGCAACGCCCTATCAAACTTAGAGACACTTGCTAATTCAGGGCATTGTGCTGAAATGACACATATTGTTCATTATTTAAAGGTGTGGCTCGCCGTAACTGTACTGAGAGAGGTTGGTATTACCCTGACTATACACAGTGTAAGAGTGACAACATAACAAAAGCTCGCGAAGAGGTGAGGACACGATAAACTTTTAGACATTAAGATATGGCTGTGTGAATTTCGTGAGTTCTTCTTTCAACTTGAATTTATTACCACACGTAAAGGGCACCATCAACCTACCTTCATTTCATTTTGCCATTATTTTGATTGATTACTTTAGTTAAATATAACTAATATTATCTCCTTGTCTTTTTTTTTTTTTTTTTTGATTCATTCATTCTTTTTTCCCCTTCCTACTTTCATTCGTCTTTCAGCTATTCTCTCCCTTTTTCAACGTTTTCCAGTTCTCGTTTTGTTCATATTGGTTGATGGATTCCTAGCTTTCTTTCGCCGTATACCTATCTATCTGTATTTATATTTGTTCATTCATGTTCTTTTATTTATTTATTCATTCTTTATTCACGCACACATAACGAAGAGCCTCTCTTCTTTCCAAACTCCCATGTATTTTTTTACTTTGCATTTTATAAAGATCATCTAACATTAATCCTCTTGTCCTTTAGATGGAACTGGCAACAAACGGTTCAGTTTCAGCTCCTAATATGGAGATTTTAAAGACTCTGGAAAAAGTAAAACAACTGACTGTAGGGAGTGAGGAATATTCACACATGGCAGGAGACTTGATCCCGTGTGTGGAGATTTTAGAAGCATTGACCAACTACACCAAACATGAGCGAAATGATATAGCATTCAACGATGAGGAAGTCAAAGTAAGTAGAAGCTTTTCTGGCGATCAGTTTGGCGGGCAATACTTTTGTGATAACTCATGATGCAGGGGCAGGTTCAGGGTTTTAACAAGGGGGATCCGAAAAATAAAATTGGCTCACGAAAAAAGAAGAAGAAGAAAAAAAAAACACACACAAACACACACAAACAGCAAACAAACAACAACAACTAGAAAACCGACCCACTTCCTTTTCTCCAAATCGACCAATTGGGGGGTTCGTCATCAAAATTTAGGAACCCAGTTTCGATGCAATCAATGATCTGAAAAGTAGATCCGGTTAACGGGCCTCAGAGGAACCTACAGAACCCTCCTAGTTCCGCTCCTGTAATGTGTTCTATGTATATATTGCAACCAGTGAAGTATGGACTAGGGCGAGGGATAACGAATGTCTGCATCCTAAAGTTCAGCATTAACTTTTATGTGTTACTTTTGACCAGAAAAGTCGAAGGTTTTGAGATATTCTACATTGCTCCTTGTTGGGATAACAGAAAAGTCATATACACTTGGTCGTAAAGTTTTCCCATTACATACCGCGTGGCATTCACTAGAGTACTATTACTTTGTTTAACGGTTGTTCATGAGAAGACAGGGTCGGCGGAAGCTAAAAATCTTTGGGGGGGCACTGCAAAATCTTTTGGGGGCACTGAAGATTATATTTAACGCTATGTGATAATGACAATGTTTTGTTTGATTGCAGACGCATGAGCCGTAAAACAATGACTAAGAACCAATATTTTTGGGGGGGCAAGGCCCCCCCAAAAATTTGGTGGGGGGGGGGCACGTGCCCCCCCGGCCCCCCCGGTTCCGCCGCCCCTGGAAGACACACAGATATGTACAAAACTCTATCGAAGAATCTTATTCTCGAGAGAATGAGAGTGACACGTGCTCTGAAATGGGAAAACATTACGGACTTAGACCATTGTGACTAAATGATGTGAATTTTGTTTGACTTCAACACGATTACCTTGATGCCCTCTCACGGACTTACAATTGACCACCAAGGCTTTGCTCGCTAAAATTTGCATTCACGTTTTGAATACCATCCAGTTAGTCAGTTAGATAACTATTTGTCATTCTGATTAATGCATATTCTTTGCTTAACAGCTTGTTGTAGACATCACAAGTAACTTGCTTATCAAGTACCATGAACAGGAATTCATAGTCTCTCAAAAGGTAAAATCAGAAAATATAGTGAAATATAACATAAAGAAATAATAAAAATATAAAGAAAATGCGATAAATATTTTATTTCGTTTCCAATTGAGGAAGAAAATGATGAAAATGCGATAAATATTTTTTTACCCCAATCCTCAGGCTAATGAAACACTTTTTCATCAAAAGAGTAGTAAAACTAGCTAGTGAAACACTTTCTCCAAATAGGATGTTTGCATGATGGCGTCATATGACTCCCACTACCAAGATGATTCGCGAATTTTCTTTCTTATTTAAATTTGTATTCCCTCATGAGAGTAGTAAGACAATTGGTGCTAATTAACTGAACAAAAGAAAGTGTGTAAGGGAGTCTGGTAGTAGAGCTCAATGACACCATCATCAAACACGTCCTGTATTAACAACGTTTTGGAAGCAGAGTGGCGTGCGCTGCTAATGTGTGGCCTCTCACAAATGCGACCCGGGTTCGAGTCCTGCCGGTCTCGGTGTTGTATGTGAGTAGGGTTGTTTGTTGGTTCTCTCCTGTGCTTCGAGGGTTTTTCTGCTGTTTCTCCGGTTTTCCTCCCTCTACAAAAATCAACTACTAAACTCTAATTCCATCTTTAGGCTTTCACCTAGTTGGAGCCTAGCCCTGTTGTGGTTGTCCCAAAATGAGATACAATATCGAAAGCTAAATATAATTTTTGGATAATGTATATGGCTTCATATTGCGATCATTACTATCGCTATATTATATATGACAATTCCTAGGAAAAAAACCTTTTTTAGAAAGTTTGATTAAATTATAGTTATTTGATGTTATTTTATTAGTTGGTTCAGACGGCGTCGAGTCTGATCCGTGTTGTTGAAGAGTACGGGCTACAGGCTGCTATCACAGTATCCAATGGCACTGAAGACCTTAGGTTCTTTATAGCAGAGAATGTTGGTAAGTCTTTCCTAGTCCTACGTTTTTTACCATCTCTCCACAGGTAGCCCAAGCTTGGTTTCTGTGGTGTCATGTTATAAGGAAATGTATGGGGATTCTTCAAAACTTTCAATGAAATCATTGAAACGTGAAATAAAGCCTCGAAATTTTACCCGATCATTGAGAAATAGCACTTCTTTCGCTCTGTGTGGTTATTTTTTGTGAATTTAGCCCGTACTTAAAACCCTTCAGCCATTTCCATCATCACCGTCATTCTAGTTGGCCTACTGTAGATATCAGTAAACAGTTACCTATTAATTGCTAAATCTATTTTTTTCAAGTTTTGGGAGCAGGAACAGTTGAGCCTCTCAAGATATCCAAGGATGTGACGTTTCCTAATTACGACATACCCGAAGTGGATGCGGTGCGCAGTGCATGGAAATTTAGTAGCTTTATTGTTATCGATAAAGAGACTATCGATACAAAGTTGAATGAATTGGACTCGGAGGTAAGCGTGGGTAAGTAGACAGTGCTATGAAAGGCGACAAAATAGACGTCATATTGAAAATATGTCCTTTAAAGACCCACAATGCACTGCAATGCCAACTCGATCCAGTTTTTTCCACAACCTCGGAATGGCAAAAAGAAGTTAATTAAGTTCTAAGCTCATTGGAACTTACTAGTTGACGTAGAATCTAACGCACACTTTTCTGAGCCAGGCAATCTTGTATGGGGCAATTTTGGCATTCAAGAGAAAGTATTTAAAAATTAAATCCCATACACTGAAATATAATGATATTCTGAATATATGAGATTTTCAATTTCACTAGAGAACGGGGGGGACGTGATCCTTCTCGGGTAACTAGGGAACTGTGGTAGGCAAGGACATTGCATTTTAGAAAGATGACTCATTTATTCTATTCTATTTTTCTATTGTATTTCAGTAAAACAGTTGAAAGTTGCTGGATTTTTGTACAAAACGCTCACAAGAATATTGTCAGCCGAAAGGTAAGGTTAATTTAAACCATTTGTAACCAACAGAACGTGTATTGTACTAAAATTGGTAATTTTGAAGCGCTTGCCTGTTCGCAAATTTGGCAATTTCAAAATCCTTTAGAGTCACAAAATCACAAGCCACCCAACCTACTTCTGTATTCCAGTGGGCCCATATAAGTCGATTTTTTAGTCCCACTCGTCTTCCTACTCACCCCCACCCCCTGCGATAAATATTTGACGAATGAAGTGCGGTTGAATAATAAGAGTTTCATGGTTTTTTTTCCCTCGCTTTTTTAGTGCTTACAGTATGATTGGTCAAGGGTTTGAGATAAACTCCGCTGTGGTCGCGCTGTCTACTGAACCAAAACTTAAAGCGCCTTTTAAGAGACCAGTGATTATCGCCTCTAATAACCTGGATCCAGTCGAGGTAAGCCACAACAAAGTTATTTTTCCCAGAGTTGCCTGTTCATTCAAGAAACTGAAAAAGAAAGCTTGTAAATGTTTCTTTAAAAAGGCTGAAATTTTTTAGGTCCTGACTTCACTTGTTCGTGATCAGCAAGTCCGCACTTTTGGCATTATTTACCTACCACTTACACTATCGTTGCCATCTTAATTGATAGTGTTTTAGTAGACATATCTCTAGTTAGATCCTTTTCTGAAGACCACCAACTTGGTTGCTATGTTTCTTTACTAATTGCATTAACATCTTTTTATCACTGATTTTATAGCTTGATGGAGATTCCCCAATCTGCGCCTTCTGGGACTTTAACCTGTGAGTAACCTTCGCGTTCAATTTGACCAGAACCTTCTTGCGATTACCTTCTGTTATACTGTCCTTCTTGATAGGCTATCTTTAAATGTGGCCTCGCTTGGTACCTTAAGGGTAGTAACTAGCCTCTGACCTCTTTTTTCTTTTGGATTAAATTCCTGTACTCGGTACCAAATGTACACAGATTTGAATCTCTTCTCGCACTAACTTTCAATTAAATGTCCGAAGAACCCTGAATATATCCTGATTAAGATTAGCTTTCAGCCCAGAAGGTGTTTGAGGGTTGGTAAAATAAATCCTCTTGTGCCGGTGATGGACATCATCAAGCTAATCACATGTCTAGTTAACGAGATTGCCGATATTATAACGGATCTTCCATACCTTGTCTTACTAAATAGAATGGTTGATCGTTTTCTTGTAGGAATCCTCCTCACGGTGGCTGGTCAGAAAAAGGTTGTTGGTATACTCACTACAACACGAAGAACACCACTTGTTTGTGTGATCACTTGACTAACTTCGCCGTCCTCAGAGAAAAACCTATTTTAATTTACGCTGAACAGAAAGTAAGTAAAATGGAGGTTATTACGTCGTAGGCGCGCGGAGATACGGATGTTATCTTCGAGTGTTGACGAAATATCTTACGAGTGAGCACAGTCAACGAGTGAGATATTATCAACACGAGAAGGTAAAACCCGTATCTCCAAGCAAGTAGCATTTTGCTTAATACATAATTATAGATGAAGTACAATTTTGGTGAAGTTTTTACTATTCACATGTGAAGATATCACGTTTTAGTAATACAGAAAAATAGATATTTAATCGATGATTATATAAATATGTTATATATGATCATTTTCTAATGTATCCAGCGTGACCAGTAAAGAAGGAAGTAATACTCAAGGGAATAAAGTCTGAAATGGGAAAAAAAAATTCCCAATTCGAATACACTCAATTGTAAAAGTATTGCCGGGTTCAAAACATACAAATTAGAAGCTGAGACCGATAGGTATTCTTGGAAATGACATAAATATCCTCTGATGTATTCGAGATACACAGTCAGTATGACGCATGTGTTAAAAGCCTCCATAATTTCTGTCAGTGCAACGATATATGAAAATTTTACGTGTTGTATCACTATATACATCTAATCAAGGGCACTAGGACACCGAATATGGTTGGATTTCTATAGGTTTTTTCCCCTTTCGATTATTTGAATTAAATTAACGTTATATACTTGTTTACTTATCTTGTGTCCGTGTTCCTTCGTTGTCTTCGTTCGCTGTTGTAGTGCAGACGTTTTCATTCCAAAGGTCAAACGGTTTGAATAGCCTACGATCGTTACTTCTTTAACGGCTGTTCCGTACTTGACTCTGTTTGTACTATACCAACAACAACGCGACCGCGCGATGCTCCTTACGTCAGTAATATTCAACCGTCAGTTAATATGGTTAATCAAATTCACCTTAAGTTCTATATAGAGTACCCTATATAGAACTTAAGGTGAATTTGATTAACCATATTAACTGACGGTTGAATATTACTGACGTAAGGAGCATCGCGCGGTCGCGTTGTTGTTGGTATAGTACAAACAGAGTCAAGTACGGAACAGCCGTTAAAGAAGTAACGATCGTAGGCTATTCAAACCGTTTGACCTTTGGAATGAAAACGTCTGCACTACAACAGCGAACGAAGACAACGAAGGAACACGGACACAAGATAAGTAAACAAGTATATAACGTTAATTTAATTCAAATAATCGAAAGGGGAAAAAACCTATAGAAATCCAACCATATTCGGTGTCCTAGTGCCCTTGATCTAATTAACGTACAATACTTCCCATATATAACCTTACGGTATCAGCTTCAATGTTCTGTGTTTTGAACCTAAGAATGATATTGCTATTTAGTGTATTCACCATAACGACAAAGCTCCAACATAATTGGGTTGTTGGGATGTTCTTGCCAAGCCAAATGCGATTGCAATAGAGATGCCTTACTTTTTTAACAGCGGACCATAGTTTTGTTGATATTTATATGTTTTTGTTGCCAGAGCGCTCCTATCGTACCACCCTTTCTACTGTGTATCCTGATTGGTGCAATCATCATGATCTGTTTCTGTGCTATCACTCTCTTCCTTCTTCTACTTGTAGCCTGGTGAGTACATCCATTCCTTTTATTCACGATTTGCTTTAGATCAGCAATAGTCTCCTTCACAGTTCCCTGCGCCATCATGAAAGGTGACCGTGCTTGTGCATCGAAGTGAGAACGGCGGTGACCTTGCATATTTTGCAGAGTTTGGTGTGTTTATCTTTCTTTTATATAAATAAATAATAATAAATTACATTTATAAAGCGCAGATTAGCACAAGATGTTCATCTGCGCTGAATACAGAAACAATACACAATAACTAGAAACATAAAAGTTAATCAATGGGAATTGCAAAAACAACTAAATAAAGGCTTTTCTATAAAAATATGTCTTTAAGTGTCTTTAAGTTTATGGGTAAAGGTGATCGATGTGCCGTCTAAATTCAACTTTTGTCGTACTCTGTTGTGGTGAGCTTTTAATATCAATCAACATTATTACTCTARCAAAGCTTTATTGGCCCCCTGAACGCCCTTTAACGCCTTGCAATCCAAGATGGCCGCCGTATTGTCCAAGTAGTCCATTGTCTAAGGTGTTGAAAAGGTCCGTAAGATTGCAAGTAGGTTTAATGTACTTTTGAACATTTTATTCCGGAGAGACGCGTAATATCTAGAACTTGGCCCATTGCTGCAAGGAATCCACATAAAATAATAATACAACGTATACTAATGACATGGTTGTTAATAGGAGAATGAAACCAGACCGTACTTGGGCAATGCACATGTTTGTGTGCGCTACTCTTATCGTTACCTTTGCTCTTATCATCGTTGGCTTGTACACTTACAACGATGTGGTAAGTAGAACTGACATTGCATTGGTTAAGTCAATCGCCAACCGTGAAATCTCCTTACCAATTAAAATGTTGAATAAGAATGACGCATTTCATCATAAGCCAATCAGGATCAAGCAACGGTGCCAGATATTTGACACACAAATAATACGTCATCAAACCAATCCTGGTCTTTTTCTTCATTCGTGCTTCATGTTTTTTCTCCTGTTTTCCAGGTATTCTGTCGACTATTATCTATTTTAGTGCATTATTTCTTCCTGTGCGCCTTTACGTGGATCATGGCGGAGGCCACGTACATGCACGTGTGGAGTTCGAACGATGGCACTAAAAAGAGATATTGGATTGGTTACTTCTTTATAGGGTTTGGTAAGACATGCATTTTTATTTGTCAGTTGTCGGCGCATATAAATATATTAAATATACATTGTGAAATTCTTCTTTGATTTGGGTGTTACTTTGTACCATTTGTAGTCCGGGAAAAGATGAAAAAACTTGCTGACGTTTCGGACGCTAGTCCTTCGTCGGAGTAAAAGAGAAAGAGGTGGTAGAAAGGTGTATAATTTACCTTTTCATCATTACTGTTTCATTAGAAACACCGACACAGCTCACACTAGTTTTCAGCTAGTTATATCTTCTTGTTACTATATACTGCGGCCATTTTTATTACCTTGCTCTCATTTGTTTCTTTTGTCTTATTCTATCATATATACACTCCTTTCTACCACCTCTTTCTCTTTTACTCCGACGAAGGACTAGCGTCCGAAACGTCAGTAAGTTTTTTCATCTTTTCACGGTGTATAATTTACCTTTTTATCATTACTGTTTCATTAGAAACACCGACGCAGCTCACACTAGTTTTTAGCTAGTTATATCTTCTCATTTGTAGTCCATTGTGTGTCGTATTGACGATCACTGTCTTTCTGGTGCCACTTAATTAGTGTCAGTCATCTGTCATGAAAAAGAGTAAGAACGTCAATAAAAAATTGTACTGACTAAATGACAAACGTTATAATTGGGATTGTCGTTGGTTTAGGCCATGTCTTAGGTCGGCAGTGCTTGCTGACCACAACAGCTCACCTACCAACGTAGGTGGACACGTTTAGAGTTTTGTCTTTGGCCTAAAACATATCACTCTAGATGGCAGAAATTGAAAATTCAAAACATTTCACTCTAGATGGCAAAAAATTGATTCCTGTGTTTGTTTTTGTTTTCAGTCCCTCCTGGAATCCCTATGGCAGTCGCTTGGGTTATCAATGGAACCTACAATTTCGAAAGCCCCTTATCGTAAGTTATTCTTTTTTTTTCTCCTTTTTTTCATGTCTGCCTGTACTTTTTACTTGAACTCATATCTGATGAACCTTGAAGGTTTTTACTGGCTTGCGATGTTCTATCACCAGTGAAGTCCATCTGTAACACAGTGTCAGTCATCCGTCGTCAAGAAGTGTTTTGCAACCAAAGTTTTCCGTGCATGTTGCACATGGATGCGATATGGGGATTCAGTTCCTATTGTTCACACCCTTTTAGTCATTACTGTCATAGCTTCAGTTGTAAAAAAAGTTACATCAAATTGAACTACGTGCATGTGCGCATGCGCTGAACACTGCTAAACAGCTGTTATTCAAGCGTATTTTTCTCTCTCTCTTTCAGTTGCTGGATGAGCCTGTTTCCTAATCTCATTTGGGTTTTCTTTGTTCCTGCAATCATTTATACACTGGTAATTACATAAAGTATTGCATTATAACCATTGATCGAACAATATTTATACAGCTTGGACACTGACGTCTGGCTTTTTGGCTTCCGTCAATCAAATGTTCCTACAATTAGCAACAACCAGACGTCTGGGATTGTGATGAGATCAGTGCAATTACTACTAGCCTTGCCGTCCACTAGCTTTTCAAAGCTTGGTTTGCTTTGTTGGCTCTGACGGGCAAAGAGGAAGCTACTTACTATATAGCCTAGCAGAGTGCACTGCTTGTTCCGTGTTTAGTTTAAAGAAATTTCTCTAGGTTTCCAACCTTCGGGTGGATTATTTATCAATAGAAACTAAGTGAAACAAATACCTATTGCGTTGTTGTACTACAACTACCAGAATGCAGTGCCAATTTTGTCTCATCTCGAGCTAAGATTTTTGCATGACAAGAATATTTAAATAGCAAATTCAAATTAACCAGCGAAAAAAAGGCGCGCAAGGGATTCCGGTACTTGTAGTACACGAAGCTGTCATGCATAAAAACCTTGTAAAATGGGTTTTCTACTTCGTTTTATCTTGTCTCTTTACTGATGCCCTAATTCATATTCGGACAGATTGCCATCGCCATTTTCCGTCAAGTATGGAAGTCAGCCACTGGTCAACTGAGGGTGTCTCTAAAGGCTCTGTACTGGAGGACTCGCTTCAGGTATCGATATACCGTCTTTAAGCAACGTCAACAACATTGCTTCCCGTTGCTAATGTTGCCTCGCTCTACAAATGTCATTTCATACATTCTTCTCTAAAATTTCAATTATTATTCGGAAATATTTCCCCTTATTTTTGAGCTTGGATTACATCTTTAACGGTTACTAGATATTGCCTTGGAGTTTTGGCCATAGTTTTAAATTTTCATATTACTTTTTTTGTTATTGTAATTATTTCCTAACATTTTTGACCGTTTGCATTATTTCAGTGCAGTATTGTCCCTTTCGTATCTTCCTTGCTTGTTTGAAGTGGTTCTCTCAAACTGTTCTGCATTTCAAGGGCCTCTTTCCAGGGGGACTAGCTACGCTGACCGGGGTTGCTAAATTCCTGTGACAACTAAGTCGTCTTGCTGCATTTTCACAATACTTGGAGTTGACTGATTCCCCCAGATTACCTTCCTTGAGGTCTATGTACTTATTGACTTTAAGCATTTTTGAACCATACTTTATTTTTATTTTTCAGAGTTCATGTTCGCTACTGCGTTGCTCTCTTAATCCTCTTTATTTTAATATGGCTGTTGGGTGTTCTTGTCATTACTTACCACCTCGATCCACTTCTAAAACTTGTGTTCTGCATCTTATTCATCGCTTGTTGCGCAATAACGGTACGTTTTGTGAATTTGACGTGCACTGACCAAGATTAGTGAGTACGTCGTTTCAGGTTTTGATAAATTTTTAATCCTCGTTCTAGTCTCAAACTTGCTACACTGACGTGGAAGCGAGGACTAGCATTAGTAACTTTCTATGCATTCTTGTACCCAGATCTCCTCGGCTTCGTTCCTACGGGGTAGGAAGGAAGCCGAGGAGCTCTGAGTGCGAGATTGCTTTCTATCCTTCTAATATATATTGGCTTTAGATTCCAACCCTTTTGAATTTAAAAATACAGTACATATCGATCAATGCTTTTGTACAGTATACAACTGAAAGAATATGGTTAGTTTACGAGCGTGGATCCATAACATAAATTTCGAAAAAGGGGAAACACAGATAGTAATAGTTCTGAAAATATAATAAAAAAGAATCATGAACCCCTGGACCCCTCTCTTGGGTACTTTAATAATCCTACTCTGAGTTGTCCATATCTTTTCAATCGGGAACAATTTTCAAATGCCTCCTGGAAAAGAGCTTTTTATAGCTCACAACGACACAACTCTGCCAAATAATGCTTCATATATTGTTTTTTGTTTTCTTTCAGGGACTGGTCATCTTGATCTTCTATGTTATCTTGGACCGAGAGGTGAAGTAAAATACCTTATTCCTTTCGTTACAACGGCTTCTTACGGCCCAGTGAAGCTAGCACGAACATTTTGACCGCCCCTTGAATGGACCCCTCGGTGTTCAAATTAATATTGCTCGACTGTTCTTTTAGACCCTCTTTTCTGCTTTAGTTACGTGAGCTAGCTTATTACAGTCGCTCGCTTAATACGGAGACCCTACTATAACGGGCCACCGCTCGCGCGGTGACCGAATTAATCGACTGTAGAGCAGCTTTCATAAGGCGATCGAATAGCACGGAAATTCATATTATCCGATCAAAATGCCTTGATTCATACCTAAACATACCAAATCGAATGCCCTGAATCAAGTCTCAGTAGTTTGCTGAATAGAGGACAAGAGTTTTTGGAATAATTATAATATTTGTGTTATTTGTTCCACTTCTAACCATGCGCTTTCTTTCTCTCAAGATCTTTTCTCTTATTAACCTATAAACAAGATGTCTGCCATTTACTAATTCAAACTGCGCAAACCTGCTGAACTGCTTGTCACAAGAAACAAAGATTTTTGTTAAAATTTGTTATTTTTTTCTATAGTTTGATGATGGCATCAGAGAATGTTGCTGCTACTGTTGCAGAGGGAGACACGGGAGGTACAGGGTGAAAGGGAATGACTACTGGGAGGATGGACCTCCAGCAGAGCAACCAGCGGTACGATTACACTCTACTACACGATAAAGAAAACAGTATTTGCTTGCTAAAAATGGCGATGCTATTTTCAGCGCCCACAGTCTTATGCACTGAGGTCATCTTTTGAACTATGGGAGGTTCATTTCATGACACTCTTTCAGTCAGCTAATAGTCCCCTTCACACTTCCCTTCGCTCTCTTGAAAGGTAACCGTGTTTGAGCATTGAAGCGAGGACAACGGTGAATTTGCAATGACTTGCAATTTTTGACACCCTGGTTATTATTGCAGGGTCACCGTTGTCCTCTCGTCAATGCTCAAACACGGTTACCTTTCAAGAGGGCGAAGCGGAAGTGTGAAATGGCTATTTATATCAAACATTTTATCAAACACTCTAGTCCAGTTTGTCTGTCATTATGGGCTGGTAATCTCTCGATAGTACCATAAACATATCGTTCTTGGTTGGAGAAACTATCATGTGTTATTTAAAGCACGTTATTTGCCTGTCTCTTTAGGCAACTGATAATGAGATTCATTCATCCATTGATACCAAGCGAAAGGACATTGTATAGTGAATGGTCAAGACGAGCCGTGTTAAAACTTATTATATTTTAGATATGTATATATTAATGTGACCGCGTGATGCGGTTAGAGCCGGGCTGCTGATTTATTCTGACTGTACGTGGCTGCGTGATGTGGTCCGTATATGGTTCACCCATTGTATCCTTGCCAAACAGAGTCTCCAGTAGCTCAGTGGTTAGAGCATCCGACTAGTATCCGGAGGGTCATGGGTTCGATTCCCGTATTGGGCTCAGATTTTCAAACGTCAAACGTCGCTTCAATCTTCTTTCTTACGTTATTATATTTCAAAATAGAATAAAATAATAATAGTGTGATTTTTGGTATATCTTTTTTTGTGGTCGGCATTATTGATTGACTTATCCGAGATTTGAATATATCCAATAATTTATTGGGTTTTTTTTCTCATTAAACCACAGGAGAGAGAAGAGACACTAATGACACAAGTGCCGCTGATTGAAGAAGAACATCGACGATCCCCAATAATAGCCTTTGTAACTAGGCCTGTACCTCAGTCAGAGCCTTCGATGAGCTCCATTGATGATCCGTTGTACGAGCGAGTCAGGAAGCCTGAAGAAGAGCCTCCCATCGAACCGGAAAAAGAGGAACAACCTCCAGAGAGTGAGCCAGTATATGCGAAGGTACGAGCTTGATGATTTAATTCATGATAAAGCAGAAGAAAAAAAAGATAGAGAAAAACGATGAAAAGCTCTCCAATGAAGCGTGGCAGATAACTAAGAAGTAAATCCACTACAGAGCTCGAACCCCTGTTTGCGATTTTTCCTTTTAAATTCATGATTACTTTGAGCGATCGACTCAGATAAAATCAATGTCGTAGCGAGGGGTGCCCCTCCAAACACATGAGTGGATATGGCGGGAAACTCTATATATAACACGCGTACGCTTGTGTGTTGGCGGGAAAATGCAAACGCGTAGGTTTGTGTATTGGCGGGAAAAACAGCACTTTGCCCCCTTATAATCGAGACCTCTCTACAAACTTGGATGGAATCCCTCAAACTCTTTTCAAAGAAGCCTGCTACGTGCCTGACTCTCAAGAATAGCCACTTACTATACTAAATGATTTGTATTATCTTGCTTTATATAGGTAGGTAAATCTAAGCCACCTGAAGAAGAAGAGGAAGACCCATTCTCCGTACCACAAGAAGGATCACCTCGCTTACTTCGAGGCTTGACTCGCCAGGAGGTCATTCGTATGGCCAAAAAATCCGATGCAAATAAAGTTGAACTTAAGAAATACGAAAGCCCTAAAGGCAGCACAGACGACATTGCTCAACATCCGACTTACCTGCTGAACCAACAAGAAATTGATGAAGAACTGAGTCACTTTAGAACTTTCTTTGCCGAAGGAAAGCATTCTACAAGTACCCCATCCAGGACTCCCCCGGGGACACCCTCGGCTGTTCCTAGAACTCTGAGTACATCGTCAAGCACCACTTCAACAACTCAAACCAAAAAAGTGGTAACGAAGATGACAAAGAAGTCGACAACGAGCACGTCCTCGTTTGAAAAATCCGAGACTTCAGAAAAGAAAAGCGTTTTAAGTTTCGAGAGTTTTGAAAGCTCAAGTGCAGTGACCCACGAAAAGACGTCGGCAAGTAAAGGAAGGGCACTGTCTCCCCCTAGAACACAAGCGTTACCGGAACCTGAAGCCAGCGAATCACCCCCAACCCCTCCCCCAAGGGCAGCGAATCTTTTAGACGATGATGACGATGATGATAATGAGCGAAAAGAGTTTTTAAAGGATACAAAGACAGATTCTCATGGTGATAAAGATGACGATAGCTTAACTGATGTGTCGGCGGATGATCTTGACAAAGATGACAGCGATGAAGAAAGTAATTTACTTGATGGCTCCAGGCCTACTGCAGTGGTAAGTTTGTTTGTTTAATTTGTTTTTTGTTTTAAATTTAAGATAGAATAAGCAAGTGCACGTAGACATAAGCTGAAATTGCAATTCAGCCGGTAATCTTTTAACAAATTTAATTTACATAAATAAATTTAATATCGTTTATAAAATGTAACGTGTTTAATTGAAAAATAATTATTTTAGGTAAGTTGAGGTGAGGTGAGGTGAG